GTCGAAATCTCACCAGAAGATGTGAATGCACACCCTGGCTCGCAGGAAGAATTTGTCGTTGAGTCGTCGTCCGTGCAACCTGCGAGCCAGGAGCTGCAGCAGATTAACAATGTCGTTGAGTCTTCGTCTGTCGACACGGCTGCTGCAGCAATCTCAGTCAGTGGCCCAAGTGGCCCGAGCAGCATCGCCCGCACCAGTCTTTTGCAGGATGGCACCGTTTTGCCGTTCACGGGAGATGGGCAGCAGCGAGAGGAGGTCGTTGACCAGTCGTCTGTCGTGCAGGTCGTGGATGCTGCTGCCACTCCCCAGTTGTTCCACTCGACCCCTGCAGTCCAGGGGTCGAGGATCCGCCCTGCGTCTGTTTCTTGTGGTGAAGTTCGGCCCTACAAGACGGCTCGACACACCGCCAATTGTGCCGAGTCAGTGCAGCAGGCTGGTTTCTCTCTTCGCTCGGCCCCCTCCATCGAGAGAGGGGCTAGGGGTCACGTGTTGAGCTGTGAGGATGGTGCGGAGGGTCCTCACGCTCTCACTGAGAGCGACCAAGTTTTGTTTCAACGCCCGTCCCCAACTTTTGATTCGGATGGTATCGAAATCCACGGTCTCAGAGCGCCTTCCCACGAAGGGTCGTGCCGATGTAGAGGTTTGTCCCACTCGACCCCTGCAGACCAGGGGTCGAGGATCCGCCACGCCTCCGATTTTGGTGCCGAGTCTCGGCCCAACAAGTTTGCTCGTCACACCGCCAATCGTGACGAGTCAGTGCAGCAGGCAGTGAATTCTTTTCCCTCTGCTCCCTCCAACGAGAGTGGGGCGAGGGGCCGCGAGACGAGCTGTGAGGATGGTGCGGAGGGTCCTCGCTCGAAAGCTGCTCGCGTGAGCTATGAGCCCAGATGTGGCTCGAACTAGCTCTTTTTGTCGGGGCCCATGGGTTGCTGCCGAAGTCAGCCACCGCATGAGGTTACCGCTTGGGTCCTAGCCTGAGACCAGGCTAGGAAAAGGTCCAGGTGAAAAAATCCTCCTCCTCCTCCCCCTCCTCCTCCTCCTCCTCCTCCTCCTCCTCCTCCTCCTCCTCCTCCTCCTCCTCCTCCTCCTCCTCCGCGACGAGCGGGGCGCCCGCGCGGGGAGGGCCTCGATTCTGTCTCGCCGTCGGCGGCGCGCCGAGGGGGGCGGTGCGGGAGTCCGGGAACTCCGGGCTCGAGAGGTGCGCGGCCTCCGGCGGTGCTCGGCGGTTTTTTCGGGCCCGGCGTGCGTGCCAGCGGCCGCGCGCCTCGCCGAGAAGCGTGGCCGCTGGGTGCCCGGATAGCCACAGAGACGGCCGCCGGAGGCCCGAGAGCTACGTGACTCGACCAGACGTAAGAGTGACCTTTCGCCAGAGTGGCCTTTGGTGCGGCACGGATGGGTCCCCAGAGGGCTGAAAATGAAGCAGGAGCAGCGGCTTGCGCGCCCAGGTTTGGCCCCCCGCGGCCCCCAAAAGGCCGCGCACCAAAGGTCATTCTTACCCAGGGTCACTCTTGCGTATAGCCGAACGACCCCCAAGGCGAGAAGGGGCGGCGCGCCGCGGGGGAGGTGAGAGCGGGCAGGCCGTCTCAAGAGGGCGGCGGGGCTTCTCAGAAGCCCTGCGGCCTCGGCCTCCCGAGGAGCCCGCCGGAGGGCGGCACAGCCCACCCCCACCCCCCGCCAGTACCCCCACTCTCCCGACCTGGTCACCCAGGGGGTCCTGGCTGGGTCTGCGAGGCCGACTTATGCAGGCAGGCCGACGTGTAAGATCGAGTGCGGTTCGGGGAGGGTGCCTTGATGCTCTTCGTGCTTGTTTTGGGTGTTCTTGTGCATACTGGGGAGGGTATGGGGAGGGTACGCTTGGCTGTTCTATGCGTTTAGGCCTGCGTAGGGTCTCATGCTCTTGGACGATGCTCTTCTGGCCTAGGTCCGACTGCACCTCGGAAGACCACCCCGACCCCCAGCCAGGACCCCCTGGAGATCACCTCGGCGGGAGAGTGGGGGTCCTGGCTGGGGGTGGGGGTGGGGGTGTGCTGCCCCCTCACCCTTTTGTGTTGGCGGCGCGAAGAGAGGGGTAGGGGGATGGGGGAAGGCCTCTTCGAATCACCCCTCCACCTTAGAAGGCGCGCTCCTTGTCTGTAGATGCAAGGCCCGCGCCTTCTGAGAAGCAGCCTCCTTCTAAGAAGCCTTCCCCCCTCCCCCTACCCTTGAGTCGGGCGTGTCCCCCTACAGGGGGATTTTCTACGAAAGATAAGCAATACCCCCAAGATAGTCAAAACATAGTACAAGCATAGTCCGGGGACTGTTTTTTAAATACTTTTTGACCATTTTGGGGTATTTTTGGGGTATGTTTTAATTTTTCGTCGAAAATCCCCCTGTATGGGGGACACGCCCGACATAACCCTGCCCTCTGCGCGCCGCCAAATGCGACTACGGAGGAGGCGTCGAGCGCCTCCTCAGAGGGCAGGGGGCCTTCGGAGCTCCGAGTCGGCCCGCCCGCACCCCCGCTGCGCTCCTCCGCGGGCGCGCCGCCGAGGGGGTCGGGAGCGTTCGTGGCTGTCGTCGGTAGCCAGTCGGGCTCGGAGTGGCAGGCGTGAGGCATTGCCCAGGGTGAGGAGGAGGGGGAGGAGGGGGAGGAGGAGGAGGAGGGGGAGGAGGAGGAGGAGGAGGAGGAAGGAGAGGGAGGAGGGAGGAGTCTGAGGAGGAGGAGGGAGGAGAGGAGGAGGAGGAGGAGGAGGAGGAGGAGGAGGAGGAGGAGGAGGAGGAGGAGGAGGAGGAGGAGGAGGAGGAGGAGGAGGAGGAGGAGGAGGAGGACGTTCTGACCTACTTTAGCCTTGATCACCAGAAAGACTTTCGAGCATCAGGACAGCACCGAAACTGGAGGGTTTTCACGTGTCGACCCTGGAAGGCGATTGTTGTTCGACACGTTGCCAGCATGTCTGGCAGACACTGTTTCGATATTTTTCTGGGTGCTCGAAATTGTTTGTGGGATGTGGTCCTTAAGTACGATTGGAACAAAACATGTCTTGAGCTCTTCCCAAGGGAGCACCATGCGAACGCGGCCAAAAAACGGTGCACAGCAGCCTCATTTTGCGTCGACAGTGCTCATTGTTCCTGGCACCCCATGTACAATCGAATTCGATGGTAGGGATGATTCACCTTCCCAAGGGTAGCCTTGCATCCGCGGCTCTTTGGTCCATCCTCGGCTACTCTCGATGGCCCGCCGCGTTATAAAAGGCTTTAATACGGGAGTCCAAGGGGCTTGCATCCATACAGCGCAGCCTTATCGCATCACCAATCGCGCATCCTTACCACCATCAGTTCGACTGGCAGTTTGACTGTCCTTATTTTATCGCGCATCCTATGCTTACCTACCGCGCATCCTCAGCGGGCTTGCATCATTACCGCGCATTCTTACTATCAGCTCTGACTGTAACGAGAAACAGCGGCAGAACATAATTCGTCGGAGCTCTCGCGGGTTCCTCGGATCGGCGCTGGAGCCCCGTGGCGCCGCCTCCGGCGCCGCCCTTGGGCGCGCTCCGTGCGCCAGGGCCGGGGGGCCCAGCGCCGATCCGATACGTCCGCCCGCAGCTCTGAAAGTTCGTGCGCGTGCGTTTTCCCGATCGCCGTCCGTCGCCATCGTCGTCGTCGTCGTCGTCGTCGTCGTCGTCGTCGGCGGAGGTAGCATGGAGCAGCGAGGATGGCGGAGGGAGGAGCTGGAGGCGATCAGTAGGCCGCAGTGTCCCAGTTGTCGCCCGCGCCGTCGCCGCCGCCGTCGCAAAGTTTTAGTTTTTTGTTACACTCCCAAGGAGCAAGCTGGGGCAATGTTCCGAGATACAGTGGGGCCTCATGCCAGGAAACACACTGCTTGCCTCCAGGGTCCCCTGGGTTTCTTGGGTTTCGATGGTTTTGCGATGGAAGGCGTGACGTTCCCACGCCAGACACCAGTGGGCGTGCTGGGGTCTCAGGGTTGGGTTTCTTGTGGAAGGTTTCTTGTGGACTGGCCCGTACTGTACCATTATGAGAACATTTTGTTGGGGTGTCGGAGGGCACCTGCAGCGAAGGCATGGTGGAAGTCCTGTGCACGGGATCGGTGTATGCGCCTCCGTAGCTCGGCTAGAAGGGGTATTCGCCATCCCTGTGCTTCGGATTGGTCTGGCCAGGATCGGCGTGGGTGCATACCTGACGTCATCCGTAGACCTCGATCTTTTCACGACGTGGGTTCCTGGAGTTCTCGAGCACATCCCTGGGACCAGTTTTGTGTCGCGGGTAGTTGTTGACGGTCTAGGGCCAGAGAAAGGGCCCCCAGAGGCCCCGAACCTTTATACATTTGCTGTCGTTTCTGCTATGTGTTAGCTCGCATGCGCATCTCTGTCTGTCTGTCTGTCTGTCTGTCCGTCCGTCCGTCCGTCCGTCCGTCCGTCCTTCCGTCATTCCGTCCGTCGGTCTGTCTGTCTGTCTGTCCGTCTGGCTGTCTGTTTGTCTGTCTGTCTATCTGTCTGTCTGTTTGTCTGTGTGTTTTTCTGTCTGTGTGTGCGTCTGTCTGTCTGTCTGTCTGTCTGTCTGTCTGTCTGTCTGTCTGTCTTTCTGTCCTGTCCTGTCCTTTCCTGTCCTGTCATGCGTCTGTCTGTCTGTCGGTCTGTCTGTTTGTTGGTCTGTCTGTTTGTCTGTCTGTCTGTCTGTCTGACTGACTGTCTGTCTGTCTGTCTGTCTGTCTGTCTGTCTGTCTGTCTGTCTCTTTCTCTCTCTCTCTCTCTCTCTCTCTCTCTCCCTCTATAGATATTATGTAGATGTATATCTGCATATCTATATATATATAGAGAGAGAGGCAAATGTAGAGGTAATGGCATATCTCTATGTATACACATATCTTGATATATACATACATATATATATATATATACGTGTGGAAGTCTATTACAACTCTGGAAACACTGAATGTTTGGTGCTGGAGGTCGGGATTTGGAATCCCCCTGCGCTGATCTTCATCCTTTACTCTTGCGGAGGTCTACTTGGGCATCGGCGCAACCCTCCTGGGCACCCTGGCGATCTGGATGGTCTGCATGCCGGTGTTCGACATCGGGGGCGCAGGGCTGGCAAATATCCAAGACGGAGCAGAGGTAGAGGGATGCGGAGGAGCATGACGGAGGTGTGCGGAGGAGGAGGAAGAGGAAGAGGAGGAGGATGAGGAGGAGGAGGAAGATGATGAGGAGGAGGAGGAGGAGTAGCAGGAGGAGGAGGAGGAGAGATGATGTTGATGCTGATGTTGTTGTTGTTGTTGTTGTTGTTGTTGTTGTTGTTGTTGTTGTTGTCGTTGTCGTTGTCGTTGTCGTTGTCGTTGTCGTCGTTGTTATTATTATTGTTGTTGTTGGTTGTTGTTGGTTGTTGTCAATATTGTTGTTGTTGTTGTTGTTGTTGTTGTTGTTGTTGTTGTTGTTGTTGTATTTCTTGTTGTGCTTGTCGCTGTTGCTGTTGCTGTTGTTGTTGTATTTGTTATCGCGATTGTTGCTGTTGCTGTTGCTGTTGTGGTTGATGTTGCTGCTACTGCTGCTGCTGCTGCTACTAGTGTTGTTGATGATGATGCTGATGATGCTGCTGCTGATGATGATGCTGCTGATGCTGATGTTGCTGCTGCTGATGATGATGATGCTGATGAACATGACATGATGATGATGATGATGATGCTGATGATGCTGATTATGCTGATGGTATGCTGCTGCTGCTGCTGATGATGATGCTGATGATGATGATGCTGCTGCTGCTGATGATGATGATGATGATGATGATGATGATGACGAGGGTGCTGATGCTGCTGCTGCTGATGCAGATGATGATGATGATGATGCTGATGATGATGATGATGATGATGATGATGATGATGATGATGATGATGATGATGATGCTGCTGATGATGATGATGATGACGACGATGCTGATGATGCTGATGATGACGAAGACGAGGAGGAGGAGGAAGAGGAGGAGTTTGCTTGCTTGCGCTGGGTTGCGCGCGCAAGCGTGAGTCCGTTCCCGTTTCGGGGTGTCGTCTTCTGCGCATGCGTAAGGACTGGCGCGTGCGTCTGCGTAGGCGCATGCGGGTGCGTGCGCTCGCTCGCACATGGTCGCCCACCTACGGAGCCCCGCGTGCCTCCTCCCGCGTGCCCGCCTACGGCGCCCTGCGCATATGCGCAAGCTTTTCTTCGCCCGCGTGCATCATGAGCGTAGGTGTGCGAGCGCGTGCGCGTGCGTCACTCGATTGCTTTTCCCCAACCATCCTGTGGTGTTGGGCCCTCGTTTTGAATGCGCATCGCCCCGCGTTCCTCCTCTCCTCTCCTCTCCTCTCCTCTCTCTCTCTCCTCTCCTCTCCTCTCCTCTCCTCTCCTCGCTCCTCTCCTCTCCTCTCCCTCTCCTCTCTCCCTCTCTCTCCTCTCCCCTCCCTCTCTCTCCTCTCCTCTCTCCTCTCCTCTCCTCTCCTCTCCTCTCCTCTCCTCTCCTCTCCTCTCCTCTCCTCTCCTCTCCTCTCCTCTCCTCTCCTCTCCTCTCCTCTCCTCTCCTCTCCTCTCTTCCTTGTGCCCTCCGCACGTCTCTCCTTCGGCACACCCCTCACACGTTTTGTGGCCGCCAAGGGAGCTCCACTTCAGGCCCCAGTGGCTGCGCCCGCATGCCTTCTCCAGGCAATTTCGGTGCACCTCTCACACCTTTCGTGGCCCCCACCTACGGCCGCAGTGGTTGCGCCCGCATGCCTTCTCCAGACCATTTCGGCACACCCCTCACACGTTTTGTTGCCGCACAGGGAGCTCCACTTCAGGCCCCAGTGGCTGCGCCCGCGTGCCTTCCCCAGGGAATTTCGGTACACCTCTCACACCTTTCGTGGCCCCATAGGGAGCTCCAACTACGGCCGCAGTGGTTGGACCCACATGCATCCTCCAGACCATGTCGGCACACCCCTCACACGTTTCGTGGCCCGCGGCCCCATAGGGGTCTCCACCCAAGGCCCCAGTGGGTGCGCCCGTATGCCTTCTCCAGACTATTTCGACACACCCTTCACACGTTTCGTGGCCCCATGGGGAGCTGCGCCGAAGGCTCCAGAGGCAGGAATTGCAGGTGTGACCGTGCCGATATCGGCACACCCCTCATACTCGCTCCATAGGGAGCTGCGCCGAAGGCTCCAGAGGCAGGACTCGCCTTCGTGACCGCGCAGATTTCGGAACACCCCTCGCTCGTTCCGGGGCCTCATAGGGAGCTCCACCGAATGCCTTCGTGGCAGGAATCGCATGCGTGACCGCGCCTATTTCGGCACACCTCTTGCACATTTTGTGGACCCATAGGGAGGTCCGCCGAAGGCCGCCACGGCAGGAATCGCATGCGTGATTGCGCCCGTTTCGGCTCACCCCTGACACGTTTAGCGGCTTCGTAGGGAGCCCCGCCGCCTGGTGCTCCCCAGACTGCTCCCTGCTGCCCCCTAGGGCCGCGACGGCAGACGCGTAGATCAGTCGTGATGTGTTCCACCCAGATGTAACCCGTTGCGGCTGACCTGTGCGAACCCACCAGCAACGTTGCCCCGTCCTTCTCTCGCACGCCTGAGTCCTTTTGCTAGCCTCCTCGCTTAGTTTCCACCTGTCTTGCGGTACTCGCAGCTGCATATGGTCAGGTCTTTCGCTGGGCTAATTTGGTGCGCGCTCGCTGTGCTCGTACTTTCCTGCGCGAGGAGGGATATATATATATATATATATATAGAGAGAGAGAGAGAGAGAGAGAGAGAGAGAGAGAGAGAAAGAGAGAGAGACAGAGAGAGACCTTAAGCGTGAGCGCGCGTGCGTGTGCGAGTGCATTCCCCGTCCGAGATGGAGATGGTGGATCATCGTGCTGAGCGGCATGATTAAGCTGGAATCAGGCCAGAGTCGACTGGCCCGCAGTGCGCGTCACGACCTGTTGAAAGTGGCGAAGCCGTGTGCAAGACGGGGATCCGACACCATGGCTGGACGAACGTGACCCCCCTCTGCTCGTCTCTACCTTGCCCCTCCCCCTCCCTGTTCATCCCCTGGCCCCTTTCCGCCCCGTCTCCCCTCTCCTTCCTTCCCTCAAGACCTGCAGGGAAGGTGGAGACGAGGATGGGCAGCACGTCAGGAGGCCAAAGTGTTGCCGCGCAGTCTCGCAGCCAGAGCCCTCGGTTGTGAGGCGCTGTCTCGCGCCCACGAGCTCTGGAATCCTGAGCGCGTCTGGAATTGTAGATCAAAGTCCGAGAGTCTATGGCCCCCCTCAGGCACTGCTTTGATACGGCGCTTCGAGGGCAACTCCTCCGCCGGACACAGGGAGCCCGTGAGGCTCTGCTGCGGCCGCTGGGCACTCTGCTGTGGCTGCTTCGTTCAGGGTTGCGGCCGCTTCCTTCGCCGCCGCCGGTGA